AACATGTGTCCCCCCATCTACTGAATGACAAAGGATGCAAGAAGACCCCCCACAAAAGTCAGAGATCTCATTTGTCATGTCATCTTCAGAGACAACTGAAGATGACCCTTAATAGTGAAGTTTAAGTCCGTCTCTTTAGAAACGGTCTCCTTAACTATTCCACAAGTTTGCTTAGAACCCTAGGAATGGGGCTGGGTGGAGGGAAGCTGCAAGGAGGTTGATTCACTGCTGGACATGTACCTTATTGGAGAAACAATTCAAACGTGGCTTTGGAGAGCATGTCTAAACAGGACTCTGCTAAGAGGGTTTAAAAGAGAGTCCTGTGTGGAGGCAGAAAACTATTAACAGCTCTTTTCTAAAAATGCAGCAGGAGGTAATGCTGTGAAACACTAACCAAGACAAGTGAGACCGATACCTGTTTCTCATGGGCTTTAGTTGAGTAGACTATCTTCACAGTCTTAGAACCTTACCACCACCACCACCTTTGATCTCCAGGTCTGAATGATATAACTTGATTATAGGAGCCTCCTGGACATGCTACCTCCAGCAATTCACTGCTCACACACAGACATGCCAACTGGTAACTGTGTGACCTATCATAAAATACTGCACATAATACTGATAGACAATAATGTACGTGCTGGTATGAATATTTCTTATCCACGTACCTCATGCACCTGCAAACTTAACAAATCTGAGGGAAAACCCACTCATGCAGAAGACAATAAATTCATATTGTCTAGTGTGAACTGACGCTTGCTAGCACACTATCAAATATCTTTGTAAAGCCACGAGGAGTAGAAAATTTGTTTGAAAGTCATTTGTTAATTGAGACCATTGGGATCTTAGCAAGAGCCTACAGACTGTTGCAAAGCCTTTCATGCTGCTCAAAGTAAGGTGGCACCAGACAATGGGCTCTCTACTGATATGACAGATACTCCACAAAATGCAAAGAAAATAAGAGGACCAGATCACATTCAAAATATTTTTGGCTGCATTATCTCAGTGCTGAAACACTGTATTTTCATGGTATACATATACCTCGAGATGTATGGGATAGAAGTCAGTACAAACACCAGCAAGGATTACATCTAGAGAGATACTTGGGAAGGGGAAGATTTTTCAAATGGTGTTTACCCTGCAAAATCCTTTAAGGAATTTCAGGTTCTAGGTCGATTTTAGCTGTCAAACCAGTAACTGCATTCAATGTAGGGCCTGTACAACTGGGTATATAGGTATCTATTTAGATTGCTTTTGGTCGAGTTACACTTGAATCAAATTATGGCATTCACACATCTTTTGAAAGCTCTCCTGCTCCTTTTTGGCACGGCACTAGGGCTTCTGGGGTGGGGTGGGGGTTTGCACAATTATGGCCTGCTCCTAACTATCCTATTGTGTAGCCCATGTGGGTGGTTAGTATGCACCAAAATAAAGCTGCAGACAGTGTAATCTAAGGTGACAACCCTGTGAGGAATTGAAAGTTGTGGCATTGAAAGGGACAATGGAGAAACCACCTGTTGCATTTTCATGTACTCCACCATCTTCATTTTTAAAATATATATTTTTCTGTACATTGGTGGTATTCTAAAGAGTGTATTTTCCTCCTTTTTTTGCTACAGGGTGGAAATCCAGTAGCCGCAGCTAATTCTACACACACAGACATGTGCGCACATATACAGTTTGCTAATGATAATTCTCCTGCCCTTCCTGCCTTGCCTCTTTTTTCTGTTAATTTCCCTATCCCCAACCCAAGGTCAATGATTTGGAGGAAAGTAAAAAAAGAGGAACTCATACATAAACAAACAAGTATCTTAATCTTCTGAGTTGCCTTGAAGCTTCTTATGGCGAGAAAGGTGGCTTATAAACAGGACTAAATAAATGAATAAATAAACATGTCTGCATTTGCAGGAAAAAGCACCCTTCCCAAATTTTATTTTAAGTCAAAACAGATAGCACATTCCAGATCCAGTCCTTTCTCTGTTACACTTAAACTACCATGTTTTAACACATATAAAAACTCATTCAAGATAATGCAATCCATTATGACTAAACTTAACATATATATAGCTTTTCTATAGAAAAACATTAAAAGATACTTAACACTTTAAAAGTACAGAGTATCAAAAATCTGAAGAGTAATTTTGCAAAATACATCATAATTCATGCAGCAGAATGGTTCCGTAACAGGATTACCAAATTCCACTTCCCAGCGTTACTCTTTTTCTTTAGTTTCAAGTAAAGTATGTAGGAGTCACTTCATTTCTGGTCACATATGGTGTGTGAAACTTTGGCTTAAGTCCTGCTCCAGATCTTTCAATTATGTCAGCCACAGCACAATGCTTTAAAAAAAATCCCAAAAGGACCTTCCTACATTGTATGGAGCTTACTTTTGTTTCATTGGTCTGGGGAGCAACACTTGATCACCCACACTGAAATTACAGTGTCCTGCATCATGGTTAGGATCCACAATTGATGGGCATTTAGATGTATCTAACTCTAAGGATCATTTTCTGATGTGTTTTGAGTTTCTGCTGGTACAGCTCTCAGTCGCTGGTCAGTCGTCACCTACTGAAGAAGAATGAGTTTCCCCTGCTTCTCTTCTCCCAAACTTCAGACTATTAATGAACTGCATCCCTCTTTAGATCCCTGCATTTTTTAAAAAAGAAAGCACCTTTCTCTCCTTTAAAATAAGAATGATACATGAGATACATTGGTGGTGTTATATATACGCCATGCTAGATACATTGCTGTTTCGCTATGTCACTTTATTTAACAACAAAATAAGAGAAGCTGTGAGAGCCGACTGAATGAAAGGTGTAGGAAAAGGCGGGGAAGGAGGCAGGAAGAGGAGTGGCATTACCAGAAAGGGGGACAATCCAAAAACCTGGCTGGACCCTTATCTCAAGGTGGAAGAACCATTGATCAGTGTGAACAGAAGGATAGCTCAATTGAGAGATAAAAGAGATTGTACTAAAGATGAGAACCTTTTAAGAGTAAAGCAGACCCCTCCAACTTCCCCCATCTGGAAAAGACCTCAAGTCATCCTCCGGTGGGCTAATAACTCACTTTCCTGCTTTCGTATTACTTGCATCTTCAAACCTAACTGCATCCCACCCACCTCCGAAAGAAAGAAAACCTTACTGAAAAAGAATTTCAGCAGCTTTGAAAGGAGGACTATTTCACCAGACATCAAGGAACTATGGAAAGCACACCAACATTTCAGATGCGAAAAACAGATTCATCCATGCTGGACAAAGGAAGTGCTCTGAATATCAATGTTTCTGCTTTGAACAGTGTAGCAACTATATTATTTATTTCTTTTGGGAAAGAGGAGGCAGGGAAAAGAAACCCCCTTTTAGATTTATTACCCAGACCTCTGCACGTATTCACTTTTTTTGGTGCCACTGTTCAAAGAGAAGGTCTTTAAGAGAGAAAGAGAGAAAAAAAGGAAGTGTGGACTTTTACACTACGAATGGATCTAAATCTTTTCTATCCCAGTTCTCTATGTGCAGCAGCATCTGTGTGGCACAATGTGTGCATTTTAATGCCTCCCTCTCAAAGTAATTCTTTGGTTTAAGTACAAGAGAAGAGCGGGGCGGGGGGGTGGGTGAGCTAGCTCTGCAATAAAAGCCTAAGCAGTGTAAGCAGAGGAACCCCCATAGAAACTAAGTACAGTATCTGCCATGTCCCATGCTTTCTGCCAAGGGGAGGAAACAGGCAGAGGGCAAGGATGCAGAAAGCCATTTCCCAACTAAATACACAGCACTAAGTTTTCCTCTTGATTTAATCAACAGATGGACCTGTTGTCCCCCCCCCGCCCCATCCCATTCTCCCCCACAGACAATACTGAGAATGGTGCCAGGAGTGCTGGGTGTCTCCATAAGACACAGATGGCACATAGCTTTGGCTCTTGGAAGCAGGAGGCATTTATAGGCCATATAAATAGTTGAGTTATTTCAACTCCTCATATTCCACAGGTGATTATCTCCAGCTCCAGGCATAAGCAATAGTATCACCTGGAAATTGCTCCAGACTGACCTTCTGGGCATCTGTAACTGTGCTACACAGACATCTAAAGATCCAAGTTCTTAAACAGGTTGCCCTTTACCCGACTTGCCATCCTCATTTCTGTGTTCAGCTTTTCAACCAAAATAATAATAGCAATTGCGATTGAGTTCAAAAACAAAGCATCCTATAGGGTATACTTATTCTCCTCTCCCCTACCCCCAATCCCACTTATCTGTAGGAGAAGCCAAATCAAATCCAGGTCTGTACCAAACAGAATAGCTCTCCTGGTTTGTGCATCCAAAAGACACAACAGCTGAACAGAAACCAAGAGGCTACAGCGGCCAGTACTTAAAAGACAAAGTTAACCAGTGCTCCCTCTAGTTACCCCTCTACACAACCTTCCTGTGGGGCTGAACAGCAGTGAACTTAATGGCGGTTACTTCTGAGTAAACATCCAGAGGATGGGGCTGTGTGTCAGGTCCATCCCCCCTCCATTCCGATCCTCTTTCAGTCACCTCCAGAAACACACATATAGATGTGTATATATAATACATATATATCTATATATCTCTTGGCCATTGATTCCGAAGGGCAGAAACATTGCAAGGCTTCTAAGTACAAACACCCTCCAAGGTCTCCCCTTCCTGAGCAGTAAGGGAAGCAAAACAAACTCATTGACATGGGAGAGAGGAAAGATATATCGGGATTTGAGGGCGCGCATACACAAGACGCTTTCAAAAGAAACCCAACGACCCCCTTTCCAAGTGAAACGGCCGCACGACTGAGCCGAGAAGGAGGTAAAGGGAGCGGGAGCAGATGCAGAAAAAAGACCAAAAACGACCTACAACCAAAAATCCCCCCCAGTAAACAAAGTCCCTGGAAGAGGTGCTCACGTCCTCTCCAGTACGCTAGGTTCCAACCGTAAAGCCTGGCTTTCCATCAGAACAGCAGCAATGCACACAATTTAAGAAGTCCCCACCGATGGGTCCTACCTTGGCTGAGGAGGAAGAAGCAGAGGAGGACGAGATCAGCCTGGAAAGCTTTCATTCCTTAAGAGTTAGACGGAAGGGGGAAAGAGGCAGGAACTTGGGCGCTCAAGCAGTTTCCCCTCCGCGATCGCAGCCGTATCCTTCTTCCCGGCGCGGCTCCTCCGTCGCTCGCTCGCTCGCCCTGGTCCGTCTCTCGCCAGTGGGAGAGCTTTAGCGGCGGCTCAGGCAATGCTGGAGTTGGGCTTCGCCGCCTCGGTCGCTCTCCGTCCGGCTGCCTGGCTGGCTCTCTCCGTCGGCGGCTCGCCTGCTGCCTCGCTCACGGGCGCGCTCCTCTCCGCTCCGCTCGCCAGCGCGAAGCATCTCCGGCAGCCGCTTCCAAAGCAAGAGGCGGCATCGGCAGCCCCAGCTCCTCCCACCACCGCCGCTGTCTGGACTGACTGACACAGCAATCGGAGTCGCCTTTAAAGAGGAATTCCTTGCCAGGAACCCGAGCGCAAGGCGAAAGAAGGCTGGACGGCGGCTCGGCCTCCCTCCTCTCCTCTCTCCCTCCGCCCTTGCCAAAAAAGAGGAGGGTGGGGGGTGGGAAAGAGAGAAAGACTTGCGATCCTTCCAAGTTAAGGTCACCACAGAAGAGGGAAATCCAGACTCCGGCAACCCCCACGATTCCTGCCCAGGTTTGCTCTCGGGTGTCAGGAGCGCCACCGGTGAGGATGAACGGGCAAGCGAAGCTGCTCTCTTGAACGCACCTGCCGGAGGAGAGAGACTGGCCCGCGGGCGCTTCTTTGGGAGGAGGCGAGCAGTCTTAGTGGGCTCTTCGCAGGAGGCTAGGGTCCCCAGCTTTGCACCTTCATCCCTTATGTGTTGGTTTCTGGAAATAAACCCATTACCTTCAGTGAGATTACTTCCTGCCACAGCACAGCAGCCTTAAAGACATAGAAGACCCGCTTCCCTTTGACGCAGATGAAAATAATAATTACGCATTTCTTTCCTTTCCTTTCCTTTGGCTTGTTGCGTCCCAATCCCACAGATATAAATTACGTATCTAAGACCCAGAGCACTAGCAACTAAGTACCCTTCAGAGTCCAGCCTTCGCAGGTCAAGTCATCCCTTAGAGTGTCTCCAAGCCGGTTCTTCTGTCCCTTTTATAGTTGTTTGGAAAGTCCTGCAGCTATGAAGGCGGAAGGAATTCCACCAAGTGTAGCTTACAAGACACCTTCCATAATACCTTCTCTACTTTAAAGAATCTGATTATCTTTATTCAGTTCTCCAGCGGCCAAAAGAGCCTTGTTTCTGGAGTAAGGGTACAGAGTTGCAGGTTTTGCTTCCATACAAACATTGAACTGTCCCAATCTTATTAGGAGGCCATGTCTATGGGCTGCTAGTTCAGAGATACAGGATTAGACAGAGACAATGCCAGGTGCAAAGAAAGTCAATAGTGCTCCTGTCTTTAAGAACATTGCCGCTGGTTGAGTGAGTTTAAGCAAATGCAACATTTCTCTCCTCTGAAGGGCCAGCTTTCCCTGCCAACAGTCCTTGAACCAGGACTAAACCAGGTATCAAATGTACTGAATCATATTGTAGATGATTTTATCGCAAGAGACATACCAGAGGTAATAATTCTGCAGCTAGGTATTCATTTTTCCTTTGAAGCCTTACCCTGAGCTGGGCCTCCCATCCAGCAAGGAACACTGCTGGACTGCTTTTGGTAGACTCAAAGACGGCCAAACATTACACATTTGTAAAAATACAGGCACCCATTTGGTCTTTTGTAAACAATCATGCAAGAAAATCATCCTGCATTGGCTGCCCATCCATTTCCGCATTGACTTCAAACTGTTAATGCTGACATATAAGGCCCTAAATGGTTTAGGACCTCAATACTTGACAGAATGCCTGCTTCCACCTTGATCTACTCTGATCATCCGCACGAGCCAGGAGGTGAGGCTGAGGAGCTTAACTACGAGGGAGGCCTGGAAAGAAAGGACACGAAACCGGGCCTTCTTGGCGGTGGCTCCTCGCCTCTGGAACAATCTCCCTCTTGAGATCCACGCGGCCCCCACTTTGGACACTTTTAAAAATCAATAAAAAACATGGCTATACATTCAGGCCTTCCCTCCAGTTAATATCTGACTTTTCTGTTTATTCTCTCATTATATATTTTCTATTCTATTGTTGTATTCTGTTTATTACAATATGATTTATGTAATAGTTTGTGTTTTTTGTATTATTTCACTGTTTTTACTATATTGGAAGCCACCTAGAGTGGTCTTTTAGATCAGATGGGCGGGGTATAAATCAAATAAATAAATAAAAAATAAATAAATAAATAAATCCTTCTCTTTTGCCTTTACAAAACATAGTCTGCAGAAATCACCAACCACATATTTTTCACAGGATGCTCACCTGCTAATCCCATGGACCTCAAACTGATGGTAAAAGAGCAAGGATGGGTGAAGAGGTTAGCAACTTAACTGATGGATTTCCATTGGGCAGCTCTCTGGATCCTATAAAAGATGCAAGGAAAGAGTGCAAGTTTGGCTGTAATTGAGCAAATTACTAAATTAGAAGAACCCCACACATAGACCTTTGCTAATAAGCCAGCATCTCTCTTTTTTTTACCAGTTGCATCCCACTGCTGTGTTTATAGAAGAGGATGGAGGGGGGAAATGAAATAGCAATCAGGAGAGCTCAACACTGAAATCCCTTAATGCCTCAAGTTCCTGGAAGGGGTTGCAGGTGAGCAACCTGCTTGATTACTCTTGAGAATAACACCTGAGCCTCATGGAGGTTCTCTTTCCTGGAAAGCAATAGAGGAGAGGCTTTGACAGCCTGCCTTCTATGCTTGTGAGGCTGCCAGCTTTCTTTTCCTTCCTTCCAAAGTCCTCCTGCTCTGCTAGGCCAGCCCAACTCTTCAAGGTAGAGAAATCCTATCCCCTTTTGTATCTTGGCCCACTTTATTCAGATACTTGCTATGGTGCCCTGAACTTAACCAGAATTCCTCCTGTCAAAATTCTGTTATTAAGTTGTAACACTGCTTTTCCTTTCTTCTTACTCAGATTTTTTTTTTACATATTTGGGTAATTATAATATCTTCAGAGCTGCAAGGGACCCTTTGGATCATCCTGGAGGCACAGTGGGGAATTGAACTCCCAACCTATCCCTAAACCTCAACCCAGCCATTTTAATCACTTCTCAACCATTTGAAAAGTATTTCTATTGACTAGCACCCATTTGTGTCCATTTTTCAAATATACACTTTTTAGTTATTTACATTTATTCGTGTAGTTTTTAAAAATCTGACACCCAGTTTCCTCATTGTGACTGTTCCTTAATCTTGCAAAGCACAAATTGAATAAATGCATTAAAATCTCAGATATTATAAATGTCATTACCTATCCTTGCTTCTTCAGTTACTACAAATATTGCAAAAGAGAAATCACACAACATTTCGACAATTTTCTGGCTGACTGTCACACATCCTTGCATGCAACAAAATACATGACCTGAGTTTGTCTGAGCACATACCAGAAGGTCAAAATGTGTGTTCTCTCTCTCTCTCTCTCATACACACACACACACACACACAAGTTATGCAGTTTTGGGTTTCCAGTGCATAAGCCCCATAGGATTCTGGCTTGTGTAAGAAAAATCTAGGACATTCCTTTTAGGGGTATACAACAAGTCTACACTGTTAGGGCTGAACCACAAAAGAAAAGTCAATACTTCCCAATGAAGAACACGAAGCAAACACATTTTTAAAAAGTTGCAGCATGTTAACAGCATATTTCCCTGTTGATTGTTAAAGCTTTCTTTTTGTCTAAAGGGATGTACTAACTGGAAGTGCTGAGTCGGATGCATTTATATGTCTCAAATTTATGTTGGACATAATCTTAAACAGTTTGAATGTCCACAGTTGTAGATTAGACACTGTGCTCTTTAAGATAGACTCACACCGTTTGTGACAAGGGCACACACATTTTAGCAAGGTATTGATTAAGTCCATAATTTTTAATTCATGAGTTGCCTGGTTCATCAGTGAAATTTGCCTATGAGTAGAAACAATTCCAAAAATAAATAAGAAGTGTAAAACAAAACATAATTCCTACAGTTTAAGGTCAGGGTCAAGTAAAAGGCAACCCTTTATATGTGGCTGAATTATTCCCTCATCACTGGATGTGATGGTCTTGTACCCCAGCAGTATTTGGAAAGCTGTACTTTGCTCACACTTGCCTCAGGCAGTGCAAATGGCTCAGGCGCTTTCATAAGAGAAGCATTTCCTCATCTTTGGGTGGTGCTTCCCATCCTCTGGACTGGTTTTCTGATAATCTTGTAATCATAGAATCATCATAGAATCATCCTAGGGTTGGAAGGGACCTTGGAGGTCTTTTAGACAAACCCCCTGCCCAAGGAAGGAGACCTCATCCCATCCTGGGCCTCATCGTAAACCTATTTACTGTGGAGTAGCCCTCATGAAACACAATGAAATATGCCTCTGTGGAAAAAAAATGCATAGGATCCCACCATGTATTCAATGCATTCAGTGTGGTAGTTCAGGCTACGACTTAATGGGCAAGTGACTAAAATCAATAAATTATACCCTTCTGAATTCAAAGAGTCTACCATAAACTAAATTTGGATCCAATCCAGTATTTCTTTTTTTTAAAATCTACATTTAGTTGTAATCCAGAAACAAACAGCTCTGCATAAAGCTTCCTTTACCTACAACATTTCAGGGTATTGGGCTGCTGTTAAGAGAAAACAGTGCATGGCTGTTAAAAATATGCCAGTCCTCCCCTGCACAACCGAGGCTTTTAAGAGGCTGTGCCTGTTTTTTAAAAAATGAAAGAAAAAGAAACAATTCCTATGTTTTAGAACTACCTAAGCTACAAGGGGAGACCATTTATGCAAACAGCTTCCCATCCGGTCCCTCTTCTGGTAGCTGCTGTCTACTACAGTCCTGTCAGAAACACCTCAGAACACTCACCGATCTTTTTTTCCCTCCAAAAACACGGAGCGGGGGGGTGGGTGGAGGAGATGCCCAGCAAGGGATGCCTTTAAAAATTCTAAGGGCTGCTCTTTCTTAGAAATTCAATTCTATGTGATACAGTATTTAAAACCAGATGAGGTACTTTGGGTTTTTTTTTTTAAACACATTTTCTGACAGGCTTCCACAAACCTGCAGTGGCTGAAGGAAAAGGAGAGCAAGCCTGAAGCACATTATTTGATGCCTGGGAGCAGGAATTTCACCAGGTGTTACCCATTCTGCTAAGCACAACTGCTGAAATTCCCTCATCCACACAGCTATTAACACCTGAGGAAGGCTGTTCTTTCAATAGGGCTTACCTCACACACCCATGTCTCTGTTGTTCTTTTTTAGGCTAATACCCCCTTCTTTTTAACAACAACAACTACCACTAACACTACCATTATTATTATTTAATAATAGTAACAACAACAACAATCCCTCTCTCTTTTTAGTGGGGCTATTTGAATGCAGGACAAATCTTCTGAGACTCTGGAGAAATTCAATCAACGCAGCACTTCTGTGCCTGCAATCTATGCTCCCCCACCTGTACAAAAGAAGATAGAGCAAATGGCCAAGATAAATGCTATTGAAGTAGCCTGCTTCTGGTCAGAAGCAGTCTAATTATTTTAAATGTTTAATTTGTTTTTAATTTTGCCTATAGTTCACATATGTCTATAATTTTAAAATTGGGCAAAGCTCTGATATGAATAATGAAAGAAAGGCAGATGCTTAAATCCTAAAAGACAACAAAGCAAACCAGCAGTCAATGTATTTATTGACATCTAGGTTGAGCCCTGCTAGGCTTTGAGTGCCTCAGAAGGTCTCCCACCTGTGAATAAACTGATTGAACTCTCAGAGAAAATGAAGCCCGTGATCTTTATTTATAAATATCTAATGTTGTTCAATAAGTATGATACACAAGATTGGAGGAAAGTCTGGAATGAAGACTTAGACTGTCCTGTTTTGTCTAATCAATAAACCTAGGCTCTATACCCACTATATCAGATCCGAAGTTGTGGCTTATTCAGCAGATAAACTTATATTTTGTGTTTGCTGGGCACTGCTTATCAGGAAAGGGCTGAGTAAATGTGCTAATTGTTGGCAATATAATACATTTGGTGCATCTCTTAAACATATGCTCTGGTTATATCCAGCCACAGCTTCTTTCAGCAGGGGAATTATTGTGTCTATTAACTTTGTATTGGAGCAATCTTTGAATTTTGTAGGTGTACATATTTTGCTTACTGTCTACCTGTTTCATGAAAAATGAACCAATAGTCAGCAGAAAAAGATCCTTTGTACCCTTACGGCTTTGTCTTTATGTATCATCAACTCGACTTATGGCTACCCTTACAGGATTTTCAAGCTCTGTCTGATATTTGAGGGATGCTTTACTACTGCCACCTCCAGTAAGCGTCCCTGGCTAAATGTGGATTTGGACCCAGGTCTCTTAGTCCTAGTTCAACACCTTGTTCACTATTCCACACTGGCTTCCCCCGTGGTGGCTAAAGAATTGATAAGGCAACCCTTGAAGGATAAATTCCCTTCCCCCAATTATTTAATGGATTGAGGACCTTATGCTAAGAATGTATTGATATTTACCTGGATATTTGGTCATCTTTCATAGAAGTTTACTTTTAGATTTATTATTTATTTATTTTATTAGATTTATACCTCACCCATCTAGACCAATGGTCTACTCTGGGCGGCATTACAAAATGTAAAAACAATAGAACCAATAAACATGCAAAAATCCAAAGTGTGAATATGTAAATATTAAGACATTTAATATTATTACCATTGCTTTTTTTGTACTGCTAATAATTATTCTAGTCTTTGTCCTCAATTTGTTTGCTCTTTAAGTTGTTCCTCTGTTTCTGTCAATGCCCCTTCTTGTGAGGTAGTGTCCCAGGCTCAGTTTCCCTTTTGGTCCCTCTTTATCCCCAAGCAGGCCTGCCAGTTATTCAGCAAACACATTGGCACACATAGAGAAACCGACCTCTCATAAAACCCAAGTCTGGGACCACAGAGGACCCCGTTCACAAGGCTGGTCCAACCCAGAGCAGGCCCCTGACCTTGCCACTGCCTGCCAAGGGCTTCCCCACCTGCTGCTCCCTGGTGGACTGGGTCTACGCCAAGAACATGGTGGAATCATCCGAGTGTGTCAGCCAACCTAAGAGAGAGGGATGGGTGGATGGAGAGAGGGAGCCCCAGAGGGTGAGGGTGAAAAGTAGGATGGAGATAAAGGAAGAGGAGATCGCTGGGAGGAAGAGCCAGCTGAGTGGGAGGCTTGTCAGGCTGAAGAACTGGATGAGGTGGAGGTAAACTCCTTTTGCTGCCTCATGGTAATTTAGACCCCTGCTAATATCTTTTATAGGGATGTTGGAGAAAATGGCAAGCTAACAGAGGGTCAAGCTAATGTCTCACAGTGATTCTGCCTCCAGCTTTCTATCTTACTGGTGTTATCTCCACTTGTTTCTTGGTGTTACGTTGATCCACCTCTCAGTCCCCTTTCTCGTCACTCTTTGCTTCATGTTCCATTTGTCTTTCCTTCAGGTTCCTAATGTTTCTGAATGGTATCCTTTCCGTGGCTTTTCCTTTTGACTCCTGGTTTCATTATAATTTGGTTTTCATCCTTCTAGGTATTTCCTCACTCTAAGTTTTCCTGCCTGTGTGTATGACTTGGGCCAGCACCCCAATACTCAAGAGGAAGGTTAATCCTTACCCCACCTTATATCCTCAATTTAACACACCCACGCCCAAGACATTAGTAATGCCCATGGAGCAGGATGAAAATATCCTTATGTCTGGAGACTTAACTTTCCACTGCAACATGCAAGCAGAAACATGATTTCATTCTAGAGCAGGATAGAAAACAGGTGTCTTTCCAAATACCATTAGACTACAAATCCCATCAACTGTAGCTAGCACAGAAAATGCTGAAGGGTCATGAGGGCTACTGTTCAACAATGTATCTGGAAAGAATCATGGCCACCACTTTGGATCCAGAAAAGAGTTGGGTAAAATGCATTCCCCCTCAAATGGACTCTAACAACCATTAGTCAGGCAACAAAAGCGAGTGGGGAGCAATAGTCCAACAATATCAAGAGAGCCACACTTTGCCCAGCCCTGGTCTAGTGAATGACACAGGAGGGTAGATGATAAATCCATCCAGTGGTTCTTAACCTTGGGTTACTCAGGTGTTTTTGGACTGCAACTCCCAGAAGCCTTCATCACAAGCTGTGCTGGCTGAGGTTTCTGGGAGTTGCAGTTCAAAAACACCTGAGTAACCCAAGGTTAAGAACCACTGAATCCATCCACCATTTCTTCAGTACGGTGGCCTAGATCCAAATGCACTCACGTTGCTGTTCTGAAATTCCACCTGCCCTCTCTTTAGTTGGCCTCTGAACTTTTAAACCCACAGATCTTAGTCCCTAGATTATAACCACTATTGCTACCTTTCCTCTTGGAATGTGGATATACACGGTAGGCAGCCTTAAAGCACAAGGATCTTTTTCATACAAACAACAAAGACGGTAGTAAAACTGTCCTAGACTTGTATGCTTCAGGGTGCAGGTGCAGAGATGGATGACTATAAGCTTCCCTGGGTAGAGAATGCCCTGTTTGTACAAAAGTGGTACCTCCGGGAAAGGTGAAACTAGAATTATTTCCCTTTATATCCACCTAGTGTTCTATGGTATTGAGTATTTACTTTTCGGCAGAACCATTTGGATACAAAATGTGAACTGGAGGAGGACCAGTCGTAGTTTTACTTCTCCTTTGCCAATGTCATTTGTTAGAACTTGCTTAATTTCCATCACGGTGGAGCAATGGGACTTTGGACTTCTTCTGTTTTGCCAGCTGGACAGCGGTTAGCATCATAGCCCACTCTTCTTGTGATGGATACTCTTTGGATGCCTGGTGGCAAACTCAGCCCAATTTCTTCCTGTTGCTACAGAGAGCGATAGTGCATGATGGGAAGGATACCCATTATTGTTTGAACAGCAGTGTTCTTGATTATTGTTATTATGCATTCTATTTTTAAGTTGCTTGTCCATCAGAAACTCAAAGTGAAGTGCAGAGACAGCATAAAACATCATAAAGATCAAAATCAATAAAGTACCAATAAAAACAGAAAGCAGGCAATCCATGAAAACCATTAAAAAAGGCCCTTCAAGGAAGCAATATCAAACCAGAAGCAACAAGAACAATTCTGGACTCCGTAACCTAAAACTTCATCCCTATATATGTTTTCCTGAGAGTTAATGTAATTGCATTCAATGAGACTGACTCTTAAGTAGGCATGTATAGGATGATACTGAAAATATTTTTGTTTTTTAGGAAAAGGATGAGGGAAGAGAAAATCTGTTCTGATTTGGGTGTAGAGCTATGTTGTTGCCTTTTATATTGTGTGAGAGGTGATGTTAAACTTAAAATGCACCCTCTCCTCTTATACTCTGTTCTTTCAAGATTCAAAAATAGCTGATAAATCTGTCAAGCACATTATTTTCTACAATGATTTTTTTAAAAAACAAAATCTTATGTTCTTTCTGTCCAAATGATGGAGAAATATGTGAAATTTAGCATGTTATTAAAATCAAACTGAATGCATTTCTTCCCAGTCTGTTACTGTTTTGCACTGTCAAGTCACCTCCAAGTTATAAGTGACTCAATAAAGGCATGGCTTCTAAAATGCCCTGTCCTCAACAGTTCTGCTCAAGTTTTGTTAAGTCCAAGACTGTGACTTCTTTTATCAAGTCAAACCATCTCATATTTGGCCTTCCTCTTTCCCTCAACGTTCCCTAACATTATACTGTATTGTCTTTTCTGGTGAGTTTTGTCTTTTCATTATATTTCAAAATACAACCCAAATTTTATTATTTTATTGTATCTAGACTTGGTTTGACATAGGAACTTTTCAGTCTATACTAGCTAAATTCAACAGGTACAGCTACACACAGGATTAAGAGGATTATACTGCAATTGTCTATTAAAGATGAGGAGCCCCCCCTCACCCCCCCCAAAAGGAGGTGGTTGATGTTTAGTCATTAAGCCGTGCCCAACTCTTCATGACCCCATGGACCAGAACATGC